CCATCAGACAACAGCATTAATAGAAACAAGGCGTCCTGGTCTCAGAAAAAGTGAAATTCAAAGTGAATCGTCAGACAATGCCTTCTTCCTCCTTCTTCTCTTTCTCATTACATGTTACAGTGACAAAGGAGATGGGAAGTAATGCTGCACAACTGAGCACTAACGTCTTTAAGTCCGTAAGGCACTCAAGTACATACAAAATTTATTCCAATGGAAGGTGACAGAGAAAATAGAAGCTATGCTGGAAGCCCAAGGGGAGAATGCACATAACAGAGACTAGTACTGTAAAATAGGAGTATAAACCATAATACAAATAATATACGTGAACACAAATTCACCTTTACCAGAAGCCATGTCTGTTTCAGAGAAAAAAAATTTACATTAAACATGTAGTAGTTTTCTTTCACTTGCAATGAATTAATGTTTTAGTATTGGGTCCTCTTGCGATTTTATTTTTATGTCTTGGATTGAGAATAGCTGACATGAAGTTTGTATTTGCAGGTGGCAGATGATGCAATACAGAGCTTTAACCCTTTATGTCACCAAAAGACACAAATTAATGAAACATCAGTGTATGCCACCACAACAATGGATTGTGCATGAAAACATGACACTGAATACCAAAGAACAAACCCAGCAAGCAGCTACCTAAATTGGAAATTGTCATGAAAATGGTCCTTGTCTTGTGTATATATCTTCAATACAACTTTTCCGGTCCCTCTGAAAACATAATCACATTGCAGTAATTTGTTGATTCAAGCTGTTTTGACAGCAACTTGGCATGCAGGGGAAGAAAACAGAAGCTGTCACCATCTAATTGGATAAGAATTTTGTTCTTACTGTGTCTGCTGTGGTCACAAATATAACAGGGAAGGAAAAACACCATACAGATTGAAATACAAGCTCTTTATAATAAAGACAGGAGAATACGTAACAGTGTCTGATCAAGGTGCAGACTTCAACATGTTCTTCAGCATACCCATCGCTGTGTGAATGTAGAGCCAAAAATATGGTAAACACTGCCACACTGACAATCCTCATCAAGCTAATGGAGTGACAAGGACTAGCATCTGGAAAGCAGGAGTGACTTCTGCATGAGAAAGAAGTAATGGTATGTCTGCACCAACCTACTCTCACTTGAGCCCTTGGCTTTTAAGGGGAAATAAGAGAGTGATGCACCGTCTTCCAGTTAACGTTTGCTTTATACCATGTTTGAATAACTGTTGAATAAAATACACTTTCTGACTTTCCTCACGGAGAATAGGCAGGCTGCCTCTGGATAATCCTTCATGGCATTTTCATTTCAATGTAATTAACAAAGTTATCCCCTGTACAAACATGGCCCTTGCTGTTTAATCAATCATACGGCTGCAGAGTCCTAAAGTTCTGTCCCCACTGAATGGAATGTTCAGTTTCATCAAAAGAGAATTAGGTAAATACTGACTGGTGACTTGTTTCACACCCTTTGCTTATTGCTTTTTTCTCACCTACCTTCTACACCTTTTTTCAGTACAGAAAGATTAGGGATGAGTGACTCCTCAAATGATACACAAGTCAACTACAAAGAAGTCAAAACTGTGCATCCCTCACCTCTTTGCCTACCCTGAACCTACTTCCTCTTCTTTCTTAAGGTCAAAACAACCACATAAACTACTTTCGCTAGCTCCTTTTGTGAACCCATGTTTCAGAATACACCTGAAGTCCCTATTCAAAAACTATAGGAATTTTAAATATTTCAGAGATTTTTCAGAGGATGAACAGAGAGGAAAGCAAGACACCAGCCTAAAAACCCATTTATAAAAAACTAACTTTGTTTTTAATATTGTGTCCTCTTTTCTAGTCTAGACTATGTGTTTGGTAAACCTGATCATCCAAGCATTCATGAAAAAGTGACAGTAGGTTGGGCATTATTAACAGAGCTATTAATGCTTAGATAGTTGACAGGGCTGGGCATGTATCAACAGCTCAATAACTGCACACAACTTTGAGGCTTACCACAGCATCAGCTGTGCCTTTGTCTCAGTGTGCACAGAGGCTGTGGCAGCATTTGCTGTGACTTTATGCCTCCAAAATTACTGAGTTGCAAGCTTCATTCATGAGCTGAGGGAGTGAAAGAAACTTTGCACTGAAGACCAGACACATTTAAGGAAGAAGCCATTTATCTCAACGAGTAAAAAAATTCTGTATTTTCTTTGTTTCTTTCAGAAGATGTGAGGGTAAAAGGAATATTATTAATAGCATATGAAATGTATAAAAGATGTTAAATGTTTTTCATCTGGCCCACTTACACTGCTGCCTACTTCCCAGGAGATACCAATGCATCAAGAAAGCATCTTGCTATCTACTGCACTTTGCTAATCTTCGTCAGAGCCCAAGTGACACTATTTCCAATTTTATTACACTGTTTTTGAAATTACAGCAGGAAATGAGCTAAAGTTCCTCAGTACGGACTGTAGCATTGTGCTTTTTTTCTGTGTACAGTCCAAAAGGTATTTCAAGTGTATTGCTAGTCACTTTGTACTAGAGAGGGAATTCTGTAAAAGAGAAAATAGTTCCATCTTAAACACAGACATATGTACCTTAAGTTGTCTCCTTTTTTGGTACACAATTTGGAAAGTTACACATGACAACCATTTTTCCAATACCTTTCTTTTTCATAATGTGCTAAGATTGCCAGGAAAACAACTCATCTTGAAAAATACAGTAAATTCATACAGAGAAACAGCAAGATAACTATTAAAATTCTACTCTGGTAGAAATGAACTCAAATCCTAAGCAAAATAACAGGACCAACTGCAGTGGAAGCGTAAGCATGGCTTACATCCTAAATCTACCTTACTTTAATGCTGAAAAATAATTGCAGGTCTTTTGGGGGTTTTCTGAAACTCAGAGAGGAAACTGAAAATACTTTGAAATTACTTAAACATGATAAAAGAACCAGCAGCTAGGAATTTAATTGTATTTCTTCATGCAAACTGCTATCATATGACTTACAGTTATTGACCAAACCCAAAGCTACTTTCAATTTCAACAGAAATGTTGTATCTTCTTAGTTAATTTTTATTATCCAGCTAAATGCTCATCTGCAAATAATGAGTTCTTGAAAAATAAATGAAATTGGGTCACTGCAAAGTCATCAGAGACTGTGGGGATGGGTAATGTGATACTGTGCCTTTTATATCCAAGTTGGCAGTTAAAATCCAGTACAGGCCAGCAGTGACTGGAGCTTATTGCCACGTGCTTTGTGTCATGTGTAACAGGTTAGTAGACTTGGTTCATTTTGCAGTGAAAAAATAACTTTTCTCTATGGTCTGGAGAAACTGTCACAGAAAACCAAACTATCCTGCATCACAGAAGGACTACTGGCAGGCACCTCTGGAGGTCATGTGGTCCAATCCCTCTGCTCAAGAAGGGCATGTCCAAGTGCCTTTTAATAATCTCCAAAGGTGACTTCAGAAGCTCTCTGGACAATTTGTTCCAGGGCTCAGTCACCTTCATAATAAAAGTTTCACAATATTCATAGGGACTGCCCGTGTTTCAGTGTGTGCCCATTGTCTCTTGGTCCTGTCCTGAAAAGATCCTGGCTTTGCCTTCTTTCACCTTCCCTTTCCCAACACTAATTCACATCAGCAAGGTGCCTTTGAGCCTACTCTTATTCATGCAGAACAGCGCCAGCTTTCTCAGACTCCCTGTATGTCATATGCTCCAGGTCCTTTAACTGTGTCAGTGGCCCTTTGCTGGACTTTCTCCAGTATGTCCATGTCTTCTCTTCAACTGGAGTCCACTGCTGGCCACAGCACTGCAGATATATCTCACCAGTGCTGAGCTAAGGGCAAGTTTCACCTCTCTGGACCTCATGGCAACACTCCTCCTGATACAGTCCAGGATACCTTCTTTGCCTAAATAATGCATTGTTGGCTCAAGTTCAACTTGGTGTCCACCAGGACTTTTTTCTTTGCAATGCTGCTTCAGACACTGGTATCATCAATGTGAGTCTCTGATAACCTCTCTGTGAAATACTGTGTCTTCCATTCAGATGGGGCACACACTAGGAATAAGACGTGTGAAATTCTTCGAGCTAAACAAAGCTCTCTTCTCTCAGTGCAGGGCTAATATAAACAAATGGGCACCAGTCCAACTTACTGATCACTTTTCAAATGAGCTACAAAAATCTGAGGCAGTTAACATACTACAAGGCAGTATGATGAGATTTATTGCAGACACACTCTCAGAAGTTCACGGAACAAAGAAATGTTCTGTTTACAAAGAGGCTTCTAGGCTTGTACATTTTTTACACAATATATGTTCAAATCTAAGTTTTGATTTTGCAGAGCAGTACTGCTAACTGCAAATATATAGTTCAAATGTTTACACTTCCACAACTTACTGCATCACCACTGTGATACCTCAAGATAAGACTCTAAATAAACTGATTTATGGGTGGGCTGGCTGCCTGCAGAACTAATTGTATTCATGCCCACTAAGGCATATGGACATACATTTCCTGAAAGACAAAAAAAAAGTTTATTGCTTTATCACTTCAATTGTAATTAAGTAATTAATTATGCTTTTATTTCAAGGTATCAGTCTACTACTTCAATTTTATTATTCTTTAACATGTATTGCCTATCTTCTCTCTTCATCTCAGAAGATATTTCTATGATATTTGAATTCTACATCCAGGAAGGACCAAAGCGGACCTCTCCACAGGAGACACTCCTGCCCTCTCGTTGCTCCTATAAAAGTATTTTTGTGGAACTTGTAACAAAAGACTGCATCTATTGAACTGAATTATCTCTTTATTAGGAAAACAACAACACCACAGTTTTCAAAATTACTGGAATTTTATTTGCCTCAGGCTTATGACTTGCAACCAAAGACATTGTGCAAAGAAAGCAAAGATTAAGTACACTTTAGGGAAAAGGTGATAATCCACATTGGTAACATAAAAGATCAGTCTGATGAAAGAAGCCATACATTACACTATATAGATTGCAATATTCAATAGCATTTTAAAACCAACTTCTTTAATAGAGAAAAAAAAAGTTAAGCAAAGTTTACAGTAGACATAAATTTGATACAATTCAAAAAGCCTTTTTTGGAAGATCATCAAGCATAAAGTGGAAAAACTTATATGGGGCAAGGTGTATGAAAGCTAACTACTGAACATTTATAAGCTATTAAACAAAGTCGCATATATGTACCACAGTGTAAAAAACCAATACAGGACAAATAAAAAATTTGAAAACTGCCTGATGAAAAATAAAATAACCAGTGCCTTTTAATGACTTCTCCTGGTTATCAATGCTACAAAAGACTTTTTTTTTGTTGCCTTTCTGATGCCACTGAAAAAAACCTTATCAAATGATGAAACCAGGCACAATCAAACCATTACCAAGTCAAAATCAGCCGATAGAAATATACTATCAACCCACATTTCCCCTCAAAAGGTTTCTTTGTTGTTTTTTGAGGCCCATTTGGTCACAATATGTTACATTTTTTTGCCTTTTTTACACCATGATATCATATGTTTGTCTGGCACTATCCTAAAGCTAATTTATAGAGAATGAGAATACAGAAACAACCCGATGTCTATTTGACAAAAAGAATTCACTGGGTGTAAAATAAGAGAAAAGAGAAGAGAAGGGGAAGGGGTCAGTTCTGCCAAGAAAATAAACCCTATGGATCACTCATCATCACTTCCGCTTGCTTCCGACTGGTCCTAGAGGTAAGAGACACAAGACAAGTCAGAAATTCTTTCCAGCTATTCTGTGGAATTTGTTAAAGAAGGAAAAATAAAAGGAAGTATGAAGAAGAAATATGACAATTAAGCTGACAAATCAAGATAGCCTGAAGAAAGGTACTGTGTTATTTACTATTTCTTTTTCATGAAATTTCATCTAATTGCTGTAGACTTCTTTAGAGAGGGAAGACAGAGAATCAGGAAACACCAGCTCTTTCTTTCTATCCAGACATATAGAAACAACTGGGAAGACATCTACTTTCATTTGTTGCAATAATAGAAGCACCCGCTAAAAAAAAGGTAAAAAATAATCAAGCTGTAAGTTTTTCATTTGTGGACAAAAGTGAACAGACCATGAGACTTAAAGGTTCAATGAATGTAGGAACAGCTCGAAGAAGTAAGATCCAAACTTCTTAGACTTCTTGTCTTCCAGCACTGGGACCAGATCTCATAAGCACACTAAGATACAGTTAACACCCCCACCCAATTCTCCCAGGATGATCACTACAAGTTAAATATGTGCTTAAGCATGAATAGTTGAGAATTCTGACAGCAAGCAGGACAGGGCAGAGACGCAATCACTGCAACCACTTCCACAGTCTCACTGAACAAAACTTACATTTTCATCTTGATCCTCATCACTATCATCATCACTCACGACAGGCTTGGCTTTTGCTCTGCTTTGCCTCTTCTTGCCTTTTCCTTTTTCCCGACCTTTTTCATCCTTCTTATTTAACTTGATTTTGACTTTCACTGATTTTGCTGCAAAAAGTTCAACAGCGTACATTAATGTAACAT